AGGGAGTAAACGAATGTAGAAAATATCCCAAAGTAAACAAACATAGAATATATTCCCAAAGTAAACAAACATAGAATATATATTCCCAAAGTTAACAAACATAGAATGTATGCCTAAAGTAATCAAACATAGAAGAATTTATGGTGTTAACAAAAATCGAATATATTCGAAGAGTATACAAAAATAGAATTTATTCATTAAAGGGACTGTAAAGGAAAAATGAAAGGTAAAACCTATGCATTTTAGGAGTTAATCGAGACTAATGAGAGTTCTATTTGATGTTTTTGTCTCAAAAAATAGATATAAAACTGTGTCAAACTTATAGGTTTAAACAGATCCTTCCTACTATCTTTATACAAAATTTTATATATCATATATGATTTTCGTATAAAGGAATTGAGTCTTTGTCACAAACTCTGAATTTATAATCCCTATTTCTTTGGAACCCAATGTCGTAAATCTTTTATCTTATCTTATATTATTTGATCTTACATAATTCATAGTTTGAAATATCTAAGGTCTACGACATTGGAATCCAAAGATATAGTGTTTAGAAAAGCAGAATTTGTGGCTAAGACTCAATTCCTTTGACACATTTTTATATCAATTTCTCGATACAGGATCATTAGATAAACTCTCATGGGTCTCAATCAACTCCTAATATGCTCAGGTTTCATCCTATACCCCCTTTCATTTTTCCTTTACAGTCCCTTTAAGTAAAAAACAAAAAGAACATATTTACAGTGTAGACAACATAGAATATATTCTTAGAGTAAACAAACATATTTACAGTGCAGACAACATAGAATATATTCTTAGAGTAAACAAGCATAAAATAGTGAGTAAATCCAATCAAAAAGCCAACTGACCAAAATTATCTGTTATGGATTCCAAACGAACGTTTCTACAGAATTTATGAAGAGTTGTCTCGATGTTTAAAGTGGTGTGGGTTCAATACTTTGTTCTCGTATATTTTAGTTTGTAATTCAGGTTGTATTTGCAAGTATTTTCTCCGGGACTGTAAGAAACTGAAACATGGCCCCACCCTATTCAGGGACAGGGGTGTTTGGTTATTGATTGGTATATTCCTATGTATACTCCATGATTATGTAAAATGTATTTAAAAAATATATATATATATCTAATACATAACCATATTTTATCTTTTGTAGAGTGACAGGAATGTTAAAATTGCTGTACAGAATACAATTCAATTCATTAATTTTAATTCATTAAAATTTATCTGGTTAAACTTTGAAAAAATGTTTAATTCTTGACAAAATTGGTTTTTTATAAAAAATTATTGACTAGGCAAAAAACATGCTCTTGCGTTACCTAGGCAAAATGTTACCCTAGGCAAAATGTTACAAGGCAAACTTGAACTGGGCAAAAAGTTACCTAGGCAAAATGTTACCTAGGCAAAAGTGAACTAGGCAAAATGTGACTAGGCAAAATGTGACTAGGCAAATTGTGACTAGGCAAAATGTAGCTGAGCCGTTTCCTGGCTAGATCCTTAATTTAAGATGCTTAATTCAGGATGCTTAGTTCGGTATGCTTGATTCAGGATGCTTGATTCAGGATGCTTGATTCAGAATGTTTAATTCCAGACCCTTAATTCAGGATGCTTAATTCAGGATGTTTGATTCCAGATCCTTGATTCAGGATGCTTGATTCAGGATACTTGATTCAAGATGCTTGATTCAGAATGCTTGATTTAGGATAATTGATTCAGGATGCCTATTGCATCATGCTCGATTCAGGATACATGATTCAGGATGCTTGATTCAGGATGCTTGATTCCGGATGCTTGATTCAGGATGCTTGATACAGGATTCATAATTTTAGATTCTTGATTCAGGATATTCGACGTTCAAAACTCTTACTTTGGGGGTGGATACGTTTTTAGAATTAGTTTTTTTAATCATTAAATAACGACAACAAAAATAAAGTAAAAATTTTACATTTTTCTAATTAGATGGTTAGGAACATATTTCTCAAAAGAAATTTGTCAATAAATCAATGCTAAAATCGAATATTAAAAATTCCAGAAAATCTGCAGAAAATCTTTGTGAATAATGAGAGATTATAGAAACTAATAAGATTACTTATTTTCTATGATATAAGAGTTAAATTTTATTTTCTCAACTTGTAAGAGTTAACTTTTATTTTCTCAACCTGTTCCTGAACAACTAACTAGTTTACAGTAGAATTTTTGTTTAAATTTTTGTCGTCGTTATATTTAATAATTTTTAGAAATTCTAGAAAATCTGCAGAAAATCTTTGTGAATAATTAGAAACCAGAATATTGAGAAAATATAAACTAATAATTGAACAAAATTATTTTTTTTCGATGATAAGATTAATTTTTATTTTCTCAACATTTTTTTACATTTTATGTCGTCGTTATTTAATACTTAAAAAAAACTAATTCTGAAAACGTACCCACGTACCCCCAAAGCAAGAGTTTTGAACGTCGAACTTGCACTCAAACTCAGGATTTACAGATCTTTAAAAAGTTTAATTTGTCTCAAATGAATCCGAAAGAAGTTTTCCAGAACACTGCATACTCAGGTCAACTACCTTACAAAGCCGGTCACTCCCTTTAAGATTAAAGAGAAGCAAATGACAACTCCGCAAGTTTAAAAATTGTTGATTTAGACTAAAACGAGATTAAATATAAAATGTAAAAGAAGAAGTGCATCTCGTTTTGATTGAGTTAGAGTGAAGGGGAGACAAAATACGATCTTTCTAATTCACTCCGTTGTATCACTCAATCAATCATACTGGATATATAAAACATTTTAAATACAGAAAGGGACTGTTGGTTTAACTTCAAGTGAAATGACCCATTATCTATATATATATATGAACGATCAAAGATCATGAAAATATCGTTGTTTTTCTATCTTGTAAACTAATATAAGCTCTTTTCTATCTTGTAAACTAATATAAGCTCTTTTTTATCTTGTAAACTGATATAAGCTCTTTTCTATCTTGTAAACTAATATAAGCTCTTTTCTATCTTGTAAACTAATATAAGCTCTTTTCTGTCTTGTAAACTAATATAAGCTCTTGCCTTCCTTATTGCTGCAGCATTATTCATAAACTAACATTGAAGAAAATCCACAATAGAAAAATCATCAATTTAAAGATGAAATAACAAGAATATCTCAGATAACGGGTTAAAAAGTTACAATCGTTCAGAATCTGTTCATGGAGAGTCACTAAAAATATTATCTACAATCCCTTTAAAAAATTGACTAATTGTGTAAGTTAGTTAGTTAGTTAGTTAGTTAGTTAGTTAGTTAGTTAGTTAGAGTTAGTAAATTAGTTAGTTAGAGTTAGTTAGTTAGTTAGAGTTAGTAAATTAGTTAGTTAGAGTTAGTTAGTTAGTTAGTTAGTTAGAGTTAGTAAATTTGTTAGTTAGAGTTAGTAAATTAGTTAGTTAGAGTTAGTTAGCTAGTTAGTTAGAATTAGTAAATTAGTTAGTTAGAGTTAGTTAGTTAGTTAGTTAGTTAGTTAGTAAGTTTTCTGGATTAAGGACTGGTTTAAGTCCCAGTAAATACTCTATAACACCCTGTTGTGTGAAGGAACCTATAAACCATCTTCTAATACTTGATAATAGGATAAGTTGGACTCCATGAATAGGCTTAGTTACATAATAGGTAGATCTCAGTCCAGCCGGCTCTTTATATCATGTATATAGGATATCATACCAACTCAAGCCGACACTCTATATACTTAGAATATGATATCTTAAGAAATAGATTATACTTTGGAAGCTTGAAAGCAGGTACGAGCATTGAATCGGGTTTACGAGGAAATTAGATCGCCAGGAAAGTAATTTTAAAATTAGGGAAGAAGAAAAAATGAGAATCTGCAGTTTGCCACAAACTCAAATATTTTAGTCCATATATTTTCCCAACCTGAGGTGTAAACCTTTGATATTTTAACTAAACTTATATAATTTAACTGAATTCATAGTTTTAAATATTAAAGGTCTATTGCATCAGGTTGAAAAAATATAAGGATTAGAAAATCAGAGGATGTTGCAAAATTGCTACAAAGAAAAGAAAAATTGCTGTTGTAACTTTCTATAATATGGGTGTTTAAAATTGATATGAATATTGTTTTTGTTTTTAAATCGTTCATTACTTATTGCAGGATTTAAACTCAATCGATTTCAAATTTACGGGATTTCACCTAAAGTAAAAAACGGGAGTTTACCTTTTCTCTTTACAGAAAGTTAGATGAAAGTAATATTGATATGTAATTCCTGTATGATTTAGCCTAACCCCCTTTTCATTTTTCTTGACTACTTCCTATAAATCCGTATAGTGGATTCAAGGTTTACAGCTTTGTTGATATTTTAAATATTAAAGAGCCGGCCAATATTACTAAAAATCTGTCTTGTAAATAATAACACTTAGATAATATTGTACAGAGGAATTCATTAGATATAACTGTAATAAGGTTATATTTTGTCTTCTGCTTATAAAGGGATGGAGTCTTTGTCACAAACTCTGATTTTCTAATTCCTATATCTTTGCAGTCCATGTTGTAGACATTTGACATTTCAAACTGTGACTTCTGTTAGATCAAATAATATAAGTTTGAAATATCAAAGGTTTACGACATAGGGTTCAGAAGATATAGGGATTAGAAAATCAGAATTTGTGGCAAGGACTCAATTCCTTAGTCCTCTGATAGTTTACGAAATGATTTAATATAGGAATAGGGATGTGTAAAGATGCAGGGAATCATGAATCCCAGTTAAAATTTCATTTGCATTGGAAATTATATTTGTAGATGTGTTTTCAGCCAGTTTAATTTTCAGTAGTTATGAGAGTTGTAGTTGACTAGTTGATTAGAAGGGTTTGATAAAAGAAGAAAATCCTGATTTGTATCTGTAGATTTCTAGCTGATTTCTAGGTGTACTGTCCCGCTAGAGACTTGAACGGTGGAATGGGTAGGTAGCGGGATTACGTCATCTGAGTGGGAGGGAGGAAGTATTAGTTCTGTATTGGTCTTCAACAAGGATGGACGTGGGTCTAAGAAGAGGAGAAAGGAAAAGAAGAGGACCTAAACCTAAACCTATAACTCTAGGAATGTCCAAATATCGAAGAAAAGAAGCAAATGCACGAGAAAGACAAAGACAGGGTGAAATAAATAAAGGGTTTGAACTACTAAGAGAGAAGGTTCCTCACCCTGTATTAAGTAAAGGTAAATGTGAGAAACTACGTAAGATAGATGTTCTCCATGTTGCCATCAGTTATATCAGAGCCTTGGAGAATATTCTAGAATCTGGAGAACCAGGGATAAACGATTTTGCAAACTCTTTGTACAGTGTTGTTCCACATAATATATTTACACAGACAGACACACAAACTAGACAGACAATCCCACACACAAACTCAGATCAAGATAATATGAAATCAATACCTGGATGTAAAACCAAGATCTCAAACATATCAAACAAGAGAAAACTACAAGATCAGGGAATACAAGAGCACAAGAACAAAGAGAGACGAGGATTTAAAAACAAGAAGATGGGACAAGATCAAACTTCTAAACAGACAAGGTAAATTCAAGTCATATTATTAATAAATACTTCTTGTTCAATATCTTGAGATTTGAAAATATAATATTTTGTATTTCAGGTTTACTGGGATAAGATCTAAACCTATTCTACTGGGAGAGAGAACAGATAATCCTGGTGAGAGAAGGTTTGATGAAACTCTTGAACCTGGAGATACCTTGCATCAGTATTTTAGTGATATTAGTTTCAGCTCCTCAGATTCAGATATATTTTCAGATACATCTTTATTAGATTCTGTATCTGGATCTATTCCAACTTTAGAATCCATGATTTCGTCTCTTTCATCCTCAGTTTCTGATCAATGTGGAAACCTTGAGGTTCGGAGTATTTTGATCCAACCCTCTTCCTCATCTTCATCCTCATCCTCAGACTCGTCTTCGACTTTAGAAACCTACAGATCTCAGTACACACAAGAGTACAATGAGTACAGAGATAATTCATTTGATTCTGGGATATCAGGTCTAGGTTCAGATATTGAAGTAGTACATCGTATGGAGTATACAGATGATTCTAAGTTCGGAATTATTGACACTTTCTCTGATCCAACCCTTGCTGTATTCTAGTTTTTATTTTTATATCTGTCTCTAACAAGTTACTTACTAATTATACAAATCAATTCTGATAGTTCGCCTGATATTGATCAATATAAATGTTAATAAATTTCATTCACTACTTTCTTAACCTTGAGTCGACTAGAACTATAGAGGAGAGAGATTTAAAATTTATTTAGTTTAACACTCTTTAGCTTAGTTGTCTGAAATATTTTAAATTTCTATAAATTAACTTTGCATTTCTTATTTTTTATTCTGTTTTAAGCTAAATAGTCAGTTTGTTTCTGATCCCACCAGGCTGTGATATTTTATCACAATTTAACAATTTTGAAACATAATTACTCCGTTAAAATACTGTTGATTTTTAGACCAAAACGCAATTAGACCTGTAAATTCAGTGTGGTTTTGATGTTTGGTATTAGAATAATTTTTCTAAATCTTTCTAAATAGATTAAAATAAAGGATCCACTACTCTTGTAGTTTCCTGATGGAAAAAGGACATAAACATAGAGGATGAGAATTGTCTAAAATAAAGGAGTCTTTGCCACAAATTCTGAATTTATAATCCCTATTGCTTTGGAACCCAATGTCGTAAACCTTTGATATTTCGAACTTATATTATTTGATCTCACAGTATTCATAGTTTGAATATCTGAGGCCTACGAAATTGGAATTCAAAGATATAGGGTTTAGAAAAGCAGAGTTTGTGGCAAACACTCAATTCCTTTGTTCAGGTTATCTCTTGTGGATTTAATCACTTAAAACATAAAAATATGTTGCGTTTGGTCTCTAATTATAGGTTTTTTTATTTTTGTTAGTAATTGACCCCGGAGGTCTTTCTTAAGTTGAAGTGTAGGTGTAGTATTAAAAGTATTAAAGGGACTGTTAACGTTATTTAAAGAAATTAACAGTGAAATGTCCATTTTACAATTTTATAACCTTTAAACCCCTCTCTAATGCAGGATGAAAAATTGATTTATTTTTAAACTGTGGTGTCTTTAAAATATTTTTTTGCGGTTATATGCCGCAGATTACCTGAACCTAATAATCTTTTCCAGGTAAAAAAAATGAAAATATTTTTTTTTCTTGTTACCCAAAGTCAGACTGAGGTTCAAAGTGGCCTGGTATTAATTAAACAGGAGTGACACTCTTTACAAATGGGATCTATTAAATTCCGCTTACAGTCCCTTTAAAAATGGCAAAATGTGTCTGTAAAAGAATCAAAATATTAAAACATTCCCAACAGTATTGATATTGTATCGTATACTGATTATTAGTCATTATATAGACAAAATATATAAAAAAGTTTTCGTGGATTTTATATTTTTTTGGGAAAATTCAGGAAAATTGAAAAACTAAAAAAAATTTTTTTTTGATTTTTTAGTGACTATATACTAGTGGCTGATATTCTATAAGGGTTTTCCTAGTAATAAACTCTTACTCCATGGATTGGATAATTATTGAAATTAATTATTGAAACTGAATCTTGACTGAGGCTAAGTGTGAAACTTTATTAGAATAATTTTATTGATAACTTCAAGATTCCAATTTTTAAACTCTTTTTAATATTACTGAGAGCCGGGCAATACCATTATCATTAGAGCAAGCTTATTTAGCTCTGGTGTTTTATATAAACATACATATTCTTCAATGAATTTGATTATAAGGGTTTGAAATGCAAGACGGTTTTAATTGATTTTATTTTTTAAATGTAGCGTAACCCCCCCCCCCCCTTATGTAGGGTAGTCAGAAGAACTAGTGCAGGACGGATCCCCTAAAACATAAAAAATAGAATTAAACTGATTTGTTTCGATGCTGCAGTTTAGCTAATAACGGAAGGAAATTAATGAGATTATGTTTTTTACATTCGCGAAGACTCCCTTTAACAAGACAGGAAACACGGGTGTAGAAGGTTTGCTATTTATTCCATTATTCCTAGTTGCATATTTTTTCGTGTAATGGTCTGAAACACGTTCTTCTTTCGGCCTCCGAGTATTGTAACGTAATATTTTTTCTCAGGTTTGTAATTTGGAAACGATTTCAACTAGTTTGTTGTAGGCTTATCAAAAAAGTCCTAAATGAATTTTGAATCTTCAACACATTAGTTTTATAAGGGTAAGATATTTTTCAAATTGTAGGATTTCTTTACTATTTTTTTAACATTTAACGGCAACATTCACACAAAGTAAAAACGATCTCCTAAAATGAAGCCTATTGCGCATTGTAAAAATTTGTCTTTTTAATTTGATATTTTTGATAATTTATAACCTCTGATTAAGTAGAGGAAGATTTAATACCTCTAGGGTATCAGGAGAACTCATTGGTTTGTATATTAGAGAACCAGAAGCCTAGCTTGATTTAATACCTGGAGCTAATACACAACAATTACACGCAATTACACATGCTGAGTTACAGGATTACTCCGCACCCCCTCCTTTCATCCTCTTGCTCTCATTCAGCCCGTAGAGTAGTATACACCCCTCCTCGTTATTAATTGCTCTAATCGACACCACGAGCCAACAAGTTTATATTCCATTCAACAGAGCATATAATGTATCACCGGGGGTTTCTTACAATAAAATAAGTGCAATTTTATGTGTTTGTGTTTGTATAGTGCAGATGTGGATTGTGTTTGTATAGTGCAGATGTGGATTGTGTTTGTATGGTGAATGTGGGGATTTTGTTTTCTATAGTGAATTTGGATTGTGTTTGTATAGTGCAGGATGTGGAGTGTGTTTGTATAGTGAATGTGGATTGTGTTTGTATAGTGAATGTGGATTGTGTTTGTATAGTGCAGATGTGGATTGTGTTTGTATAGTGCAGGATGTGGAGTGTGTTTGTATAGTGAATATGGATTGCGTTTGTATAGTGAATGTGGATTGTGTTTGTATAGTGAATGTGGATTGTGTTTGTATAGTGCAGATGTGGATTGTGTTTGTATAGTGAATGGCATGACTTCTTAAATCGAAACTTTTGTAAAGTAAAAGTTGCCAAAAACTTCAGAAAAAGTAAATCAAAGACAATTAATTATTTAATTTGCTAGTTATATTTTATTTCCTATTTTGTATTGCAAAACACAAAATTTGGATAGAAAAGAATTGAGTCTTTGCCACAAACTAAAATTTTCTTATCTTCATATCTTTGCAACCTAATGGCATAAACCTTTGATATTTCAAACTTAGATCATTTGATCTAACAGACTGCAAAGTTTGAAATATCTATGGTCTACAAAACTAGTTTGCAAAGATATCGGGATTAGAAAATCTCAAATTTTGGCAAAGACTCAATTCCTTTATATGAATAAATTGATTGACGAATAAGCATCATTTGCAAATGTATAAGCATGCACATTAAATGGGTCTCTAAAAATGGCTATTTTAGACACTACGCTCTTTCGGTTCGACTCTTGGAAATTTTAAAAATGTTCGTATTATTTCTGTTCGATTTATACCATTTAAAGCGTTGTAGCACTAAAGTTCAGACAGTTATGACCAGGTTTAAAGGTGAACTTTTAACGGTGATAATTTTCTAAATTTTAGTGCTTAAAAATTCTAAGTGCAGTATCTATCATTTAGAAAAATATATATAAATAATTTTTCAAGTGACTAAAATTTGTGTGATACACTTTGTGTATGAAGTCCTTCTTTGTTATGGAAATAAAATCATTTAGTGCAGATGTGGATTGTGTTTGTATAGTGCAGATGTGGATTGTGTTTGTATAGTGCAAATGTGGATTGTGTTTGTATAGTGAATGTGGATTTTAGTGCAGATGTGGATTGTGTTTGTATAGTGCAGATGTGGATTGTGTTTGTATAGTGCAGATGTGGATTGTGTTTGTATGTATATGCTTTAAAGCAAAAAGTAAATTGCTCATTTTTCTATGATAAATTTTTTATAATAAACCCATATCAAGATGAACAAACGCTACTTTAATTACCTGAAGGTAGTATTATTACTATATAAGGAGATTAATGGATTAAGCACTCAACCTATTTTGCCCTATTTTCAGATAATTAAACTTAGAAAAAAACTTAGTTTTGGACAGTAAGTTGCAAATTTTCAAGAATAGGGCGTTTTCTTCTTTTTTTCTCCTGGGGGTGTTACTGTATAATGTAGAATATGTGCATGATCTGACAAATCTTATGATTCCAACCCTGCCAGCTTTACTGTAGAAACATGAACTTGCAAATTCCTAATGAAAAATGTACAAAAATCGTTTCTATTTCTTCACACGTGTGTTTTTAACTTTTCATATTTTGTAATTGGTCCGAATAGATAAGCATAAAAGGTTTATCTAAGGACATGGGTTCAGATAAAAATCTTAAAAATATGACAGAAACTTTTCAAGAAAAAAATGTATAATCTTTCCGTAAAGTCTATAAACAAGTAAAGTATGTTAAATTTGATTCAATTCTGTTTTAAAAACTTGAAGAAAAAAAACGCTTTTTGTTTAAAACTAAAAGACGTTGCGCAATCTTAGTTTTACTTTTTTAACAACCTTGTCGTTCAATCCGACTCTTTTTTGGCAAACTGCAATCCTCAGAAACTGCAAAGGTAAAGCATCCCTCCCAAAACCACTTAAAGTTGTAAAACTATAGTTCTTAATTTTACGCGACACCACCCTTTAATAGTTGGGAATTAGGGGGCTTGTACATTTTAAACTAAACTAGGCAAATGTGTTTTTACAAATTAAAGATGATCTACGGGGTCTATGTGCATATTTATTGTGTTTACAGGGTTATTCACAAACTATGAAACATCAGAGACTACTGCACGGAATTTTTAATGTCTGTTTCCTTACATTCATGAATTTCGCCAATTTTAAACTTGTTTCGTTCTTTTTCAAATCCTTAAATAACCCATAAAAAGAATAGGACTAGGCAGAAGACTTGATTCAACCTTGGAATCGTAATATTTTAAAAAGTTTCAGATCGTCTTTACAGTCATATCCTATGTGGTTAACCCTTTTCCTACATACACCTTACAGCAAATAGATTCTAGTACAATAGATGGCCACGTAGAATTTGTACACTCTCAGTACAGTTGTATTCTGTCGTCACAAGTGTCAATTCAATTTTTGTGTCCGACAAAATAATCAATAATAGTGATAATTTAAGAATAAAGTGCTTTTCTTACAATAAAATAAGTGCAATTTTATGTGTTCTTTAGTTTCTGTTTTTACACTTTTTTATTTAATCTTGGAAAACATGTTATATTTGACACTTGTGACGTCGTGTATAATTGGTTAATTTCTCTGTTGCCACCAATTGTACTTGATAATCTATTTGCCTTACAGTGCTCACTGCTCAGAGTTCGAAACTTAAGACATGGGGCATAGCAATGAAACCGAAAATCAGAAACCCGGTGTTATGAAATGAGTCAGGTAGTTTTGTAGATAATAATGATTTTGTTAAGAAATACCATTTCATATATATATGGTACTTTAAAATATATTCCTGCTTTCTTTTGAAGAACTTAACAAATAAATACTTGTTTCTCCAGTATACTAATATACACTAAACTTTCTTATAAAGAATATCTAGGTTGAACTGAATATCTAGGTATGAACTGAATATCTAAGTACTATGAACTGAATATCTAGGTATGAAGTGAATATCTAGGTATGAACTAAATATCTAGGTATGAAGTGAATTTCTAGGTTGAACTAAATATCTAGGTATGAACTGAATATCTAGGTATGAACTGAATATCTAGGTATGAACTAAATATCTAGGTATGAACTGAATATCTAGGTATGAACTAAATATCTAGGTATGAACTGAATGTCTAGGTATGAACTGAATGTCTAGGTATGCAAGTGTATTGATATAAAGTCCTGAAGAACTGAGTAATCCCAGCAGTGTATATAATTATACAAATCTCCTGGAGTGCTCGTCTGCTTCAATATTCATAACTCGAAAAATAAATCATAGACAACTAAACGGTCGTCCTTCACTTTTTTCAAATTAATTTCTAATCATGTTTTTTCGTCAAGGTAAGGAATTGAGTCTTTGCCACAAACTCAGATTTAATAATCCCCATATCTTTGTAATTCAATGTCGTAGACCTTTTATATTTTAAACTATAAATTCTGTTAGATTTAAAATGAAAGGTTTACTCCTGCAGGTTGCAAAGATTTAGGGATTAAAAAATTTGAGTTAATTTGAGACTTGTATTACTTTTACAAAAACAATTTGCAATATTCATTGGTTATCATAAAAAATAGATGGTATCGACACAAAATTACGAATATTGGTTGAACGACTTTACCTGTTAGTTTAAAGATCTTGGCTCCCGGGGGTGGTGCTAGATTACATGATGCATATATCAGTATATCTACATGAATAGGGAGGGGAGGGGGTTGGGAGTTGGTACTACATTACATGATGCATATATCAGTATATCTACATAAGTGCAGATGTANGTATAAACAAGAATTGGACTATTCAGAGCACTGGAGTCCTGTATAAACAAGAATTGGACTATTCAGAGCACTGGAGTCCTGTATAAACAAGAATTGGACTATTCAGAGCACTGGAGTCCTGTATAAACAAGAATTGGACTATTCAGAGCACTGGAGTCCTGTATAAACAAGAATTGGACTATTCAGAGCACTGGAGTCCTGTATAAACAAGAATTGGACTATTCAGAGCACTGGAGTCCTGTATAAACAAGAATTGGACTATTCAGAGCACTGGAGTTCTGTATAAACAAGAATTGGACTATTCAGAGCACCGGAGTCCTGTGTAAACAAGAATTGCTGCTGTTTTAAAAATCTGTTTATGTTTAACAAAACCCATTTACAGTGCATAGACCAGGTGCTGAAATAATCTGCAATGAAATAATATTTTCCAGATTATCAAAATGAATGCTTCCCTGAAACCTTCAATAAATCCTCCCACAACAACTCCATCTAGAGACAAGTTTTATAAACTTCTCCCTTTGCCCTGCCAGGGGGGGAGGTGCCTTCACGAGGCAGTTTTCATAACTAACGAAAAAAGAACAAGATAAAAACTGTATTTGGGAGTTTGATTTGGAAATAAAAGAGGTCCAGGTGTATAGGTTTAGGCTAGATCAAAACACAGATTTAAATCATAGATTATCTGGTACTTTTCTTCTCTTCAATTGGAGTTTATACAAAAATATCTAATCGATAAAACATAAAGTCAAAGAAAATGTTCCTATTGACTCCCTGGAATGGAGGGGGCAGAGTATATCTGCCACCCCCCCCCTTCTCTTAACTTCTTGTTTGTATAAACCAACTTCGTATAGAAGTATAACCAGTAAATACCATTCTGACATATTGGAATTCAGAATTTGATAATTTCCCCTCATTTCGCAAACCCCTACCAGGATTCCCCCCCCCCCCTCCTCCTCTCTCTAGTATAAGGGATGAAGTGTAAGGACTGCCTAATAATTAATCTAATATCAATAATATAGTTCTGATCTGCTGTAGGAGTTCTACACCATGTCTGGTATAATATTCAACCTGTCAACAATCAATCCATCAATCAGAAAATCCATATATGTACAGGGTTACCAACTAAGGGTGAGACTGTAAAGACTGCCTTAAACTCTGCATGATTCCAATATTGAATTAAGCCTTCGGTCTTTTTTTAATATTCGTCGTTTTGGAGCTTTTTGATGATTTGACAAAGAACTGAACAAGTTTACAGTTGCTTGAAAATAAGCATCTAAGGAAACAGACGTCTCATCCTTTGTGGCTAACCCTGTATATACTCGTATATACAGGGTTCTGTATATACTCGTATATACAGGGTATATACAGAGTATATACAGAACCCTGTATATACGAGTATATACAGGGTTAGCCACATAAATGAGACTCGAATGACAAACTAATACTCTTTGGTGCGATGGTTTGAATTGAATTTGGTCTTCTTAATAACTATTTAAACGGAAGTTTAATGAAAATATGAACCATCAATGTAAAAACTAAACTTATCTGAAGTTTCATCCTTTGTGGGTAACCCTATATACACAGTAGTAGGAGCGGATACAGGCTGGAGGATTGAAAATGTTTTCCAACAAATGCTTTAAAGGGACTGTTGGCGTAATTTAAATTGACCCTCCAAGCAAAGATGGTATAATGCCCGATTCACACCGGTACCATTAAAAGTTTTGGTTGATCAAGTATGAATTAGATATCGTGCATGTTTTAGTTTAAACTGTTTATTTTCATTTGTGGGCTCTCTGTAAAAGTGTCTTGCGCATTTCTTGCTTTAAGAAATAATGGATAAATTCACAGAAATAAACACTTTCCGATTCAGAAAAGCTGTATTATCTTCCACATTTTTGATCAGATTAAGGTTTAAAGGGTACCGTTGTAAATCGGGCATTGTTATCTTTGCAAGGAGGGTGACTTGAAATTACGCTTAAAGTCCCTTTAATAAGAACTAAATTAAGTATATTGGGGTTTACGTTTTTCCAAACTTTATTCAAAATTGGTTTACTACTGATAAAAAGTCGGGGAAATAGATCAAAATTTAAAAAAAAAATAGTTTTGCAATTTGAGTTTTAATCATAGGCTCCATTATTTTATTGAAACTCAAAACCTATGTTACGTGAGCCATGCTGCGTATAGAAAGTCTGTTTGTCGCCCCTGTGTGTTTCTGAGTTCCTCCTGAAGATCTGTACGGAATGTATTGTGAAAGAACTAGTTTAGGAACTGTTTACAGTCCGACTGCGCAGACGCAAGATTTCTCGCGGAATAGTACCTAATTTATATCAGTATATGTTTATTCGTTTTGCAAGTATTAGCCGTGTTCAGAATTCTGGGATCACTGTGGTAACTATTTTATATATATTTATGCTTATCGGTTTGATTATAGTATGATTGATATTTGTATATGTGTTTATTGGTTCCTAGCCACAGTTTTTTAATGCCTGAGTGAATTATTTGTTGTAGTTGTATGATTATCACTCAAAGCTTTTTCTGTGGGTTTATTAAACTTGTTTAGATTGAAGGCTCAGAGAAATAAACGTTCGGAACCTTACTATCTTCCTTTTTATTATGAAGAGCGTTGAGAGAAGGGAGTCTTACGATCCGGTCCTGAGAAATACCACACGGTATATATATTAGGTCTTTAGGGAAATCGCTAAGTAGCGAAACAACCTATTCAATTATTAATAGGATCGTACGTTAGTTCAATTAACGAATAGCAGTTTCCAGTTAACTTTAGAAATTAAAACCTTTCTATTTGTTTGTCCAACATAACCAGCTGATCTTGTTAAACCATATTTTCATTTCATTGAGTGAAAAACTTAAATTTTTTGAAACAAAACTCTTGAAAATCAGAAATTAGAATCCTGAAGGAAACATGATTGACGACAATTGATTTTTGGTTTAGAAATGGTGAAGGAAGGCAAGGGGCCGGGGGGGGGGGTGGTAGGACCAACCCAGGGGGGAGAATTCAGGTGAACCCCTACAGTGGAAATTAGTATGAAAATTGTTTATGTGAAGAATGTATGATTTGTTATTCAGAAATTCATTCATTCTGTTCCTCAGCTTACACTTTACTTGTCTTTCTCACTACAAGGGGTATACCAGTATACCAGTATACCAGTATACCAGTATACCAGTATACCAGTTACCAGTATACCAGTATACTAGTATACCAGTATACCAGTATACCAGTATACCAGTATACCAGTATACCTGTATACCAGTATACCTGTATACCAGTATACCAGTATACCAGTATACGAGTTTAAAATTCTTGGAAGATTTCAAAACAACATGAAGCTTCAAAGAGTTTCTGAAAGGCAAAATATTGACAAATTTCAGAAAATTAACTAATTTTTTTTGTATTTTATGCCACAACATTGAAACTACTATAGATTGCTAAAGCATCTTGATTTGAAGTCTCAGCTGTAAAGCTTCCTATTGTAAATATATTGTATTTATAACGAATAGCATAAGTATATAAGTATTTCTTGCACTATGGCTTCTCTGCTTTATCGCAAATCTTCTGCTAAAGACGAGCAAAAAGTTGGATGAAGAGCGCGCAAAATTTGTAAATTGAAATATTGGTGGTGGTCCTTAATTTACTAAGGTTTTTAAAAACTTTTTAACGCGTCAAATTTTGGTAAAAAGCGTTTAATCATCTTGAAAATCTCTCTACCTCCCACCTTACTTCTGCAAAAAGACACGCAACAAAAAACCTTTTACATTTAAAATGACACTCCTTTTAATGACCAATATTAGAATAGTAAAAAGGTAGAAATTAGCCGGATGATGGTTTGGGCGTGTTCTCTGCATTCTAATTGATTGAAATTACGATATTTTTAACTTTTCCGGCTGAATAAGACCAGGAAATGGTTATTTTATAGTTTAAGACTGTTTTTGTTGATCTTTTACGACAAGTTGATCAGAGGTCAGAACTTGAGTTGAGCATCGTTGTTTTTGAACACTTGATCTTGATATCCAATGTGGACACTTTTAAATTTGGAATAAATGCTTGATCCCTCAATTAGAGTTATCCGTGATAATCTGTTAATCTGCATAAGATCCCGAGATTCACAACACAAAAGTTCTGAGCTTAAAAAATTGGAAATATCATATTTTTAATTCCCTGATATTAAGAAAAATAGGATTTAAATTAAAATACATTTTGCCTACAGACTACAACCTCTCTTTTCAAAGGTTTGTAAAGTTGTAAAAAACGTTGAGCATAAAATTTATCATTTTAATTTTTCGCGACGATCTGACGATCTTACGCATCTCTATATTTAAAAGTTTACGACTTTCCTAAATCTATCTTTCTCTTTGATCAGTTCTTGAGGCAGGAATGGTTTTTGTTCAGACGCAAAAAATATTGAGTTTCAAGATCTTGAAGAGCACGTGATTTCAAACAAAAGGGAGAAATATTATTGTCAGAATTCTTTAATTAGTGATTGATTATATTCGGTGTCATTGTTTTGAAAGAATAAAATCCCTATTATTAGCCTTGTGGGGGGGGGGGTTATCTAACATAAAAATTTAAATTAAAAAGAGCCATTACAAATTTTAATTAATAAATTCTGACCTGTGCCCATTTTAAACAAAAATAAATGTCCTCTACAATGCATTTTGTCAACTATATTAACAGATTTTTAGAAATATTACCTTAGATCATAGGTAGCGTTGATTACAAGACAGAGAGATAGCATGCGCGTAAGTCCTTTTGGGCTTCTATCTCAGGTTTATTGTGAACGAAAAACACTTAAATCTTGAAAAGACGACATCTAATGTTCTATCTGTACTGTTATTACCTATACCTTAGATTAACTGTTTCCTGGATGAGGGGCAGGCACTATTTTAGACTAGAGGGATTTAGCACTCCTCAGTTACCAGACCCAAATATTAAAAATTCATGAAATTTATAAGTGTGAGACAGCAGGAAAAGGTCAAAACGAAGCAATGCATCACGATCATGTGATGACCAATAGTTCTGGACTCTATTGAAGGTTGGTCGGAGGATGTCATTGAGGTTGATAGAAGTTCAATGTCTAATCTAATCTATTCACAAACATTAAATACATGTAAAACTTCGATTATCAAAACGTCAATTAACAAAACGTCAATTAACAAAACGCCAATTAACAAAACGACGATGATATACAAAACGTCGAATAACAAAAAACTGTCAAATAATAAAACGTCAATGCTACAAAACGTCGACTGCCACAAAATGTCGAAATTACAAACGTCGAATGCTACAATACGCCGAATTCTACAAAACGTCGAATAATACAAATGCAGAATACTACAAAACATCGAATACTACAAAACGCAGAATACTACAAAACGTCAAACAATACAAAACGCCGAATACTACAAAACGTCGAATACTACAAAACGCCGAATACTGCAAAACGTCGAATACTACAAAAGTCGAATACTACAAAAGTCGAATACTATA